TGCAGTGCATCACAAAGAAAACTGCTTGGAGAAGGCTTTTTGTGCTTCTTTCTCCTTCACTCTTCCTTTTGCTGGTTATTTCTCAGAGTACACTTGAAGTCTTACTGCCTTGGCAGTCTTGGAAGAACTTGATTCTTTCTGCTAGTTGTTACTCTGTGGCTTTGTCAGCTCCTCTTGCTTAACATCATGAAAAGTAACATGATCCTTCTTCAAGGATGTGTCTGGCCATTGTCCTGTGCCTCAGTGTTACTTGTGGCTGAGGTTTCCTCTATTTTTCCAATATATTGCAACCGCTAAGATGAAAATTCTTGAAAGGGAATTCATTTCTTCTGTGAAGATCTCTTCCTAGAGGCAAAGGAGTGCAGGGTTTGGGGTTTTGTCAAAATAAATGCTGGGAAGAAAAGTAGATAAAAAACCTGTGCAACTGTGACACTCTTGCTAAATTGTGATTTGAATTAGGCCAAACAAATAGCAACTCCTTAAACCTTGGGAAATTTGACCTTCCTGACATGGATATTATTATTCTCCTAAGAGTTTCAAACATCATTGCATTCTAAAACCCAGTCTCTTTTCCCTTTGGTTACTGCTAGCTTTGCTGTCAGTTGTTCTTACTGAAAAAAAAGATGTCTACAAGCCAGGTATTTCAGGACCCTGCAGTCCTGTTATGTGTACAGCTTCTGATGTCAAGATGTGTGAGAATACAGAAATTGTCAGGTTGGCCCCTGATATGCTGACACTGCAGAATTTCTTTCTATTGTATTCCCATTATTCTGTGATTATATTCTAAGTATACTTAGGGAAAAGACCTCATTTTTAATTTTTTTTTAATTGCAGATCCTATGGAAGAAGACATTCTACAGGTTGTGAAATACTGTACTGATCTAATAGAAGAAAAAGACTTGGAAAAGTTAGATCTGGTTGTCAAGTACATGAAAAGGTAACTTAATTGCTGGTATTTGCGAACTGTAGACTATTTTTGTTAGAATTTATACTCCAGATGCTGCATTGGAAGCCCATTAACCCATCAGACATTCCAGTGATGAGTGGTTTTAATCTTGAATACTGGGGTTGAGGGAAGGACTTGGAGTGTTAAAATAGGTAATTTTTGAAAAAATGAGAGTAATATTTAGTTGTAATTCATAGAATCACAGAGTGGTTTGGGTTGAAAGTGACCCTAAAGATCACCCAGGCCCAACTCCCCTGTCATGGGCAGGGACTTCTTCCATTAGACCAGGTTGCTCAGAGCGCCATCCAGCCTGGCCTTGAACACTTCCAGGGATGGGGAATCCACAGCTTCTCTGGGCAACAGGTTCTAGACAGAGATTGTACTTCTCATCAGCACTGTCCCTTTTTCTTCATCCTGTTTTTGTTCATTTTTTCATGATATCTCTATACCCGATTTCATTCTCTCTCTGTATCCAGATTCTGTCTCACTCCAGCCTTTAAATGCATTTCTGTTACTTTGTTGTTGTGCTCCTATTACTCTTGCCATGAGTTTATGATGTTTGAATCCATGTATGACTTGCTTACTAACTAAAGCTTAATCATGGAGCTCAGCTTTCTAGGTTTTAGATCTGCAAATATGTTTCACAAAAAGAATCAACACCAAAACGACTACAGAAGTGTAGGAAATTCACTGGGCTTTTGCATTATATGATATCTTTAGGCCTTGGGAAATGCAAAATACACAGTGTAATGAACTGTTTCATGAAATCTGTGTAGCAAATTCCTTACAAAACTTCTGAATTGTCAGAATGTCCCATTCCTGGTCCCTGTGTGTTGATCTGCCCTGATGGCAGTGTGTCTCCCCAGAGGGTTCCCACTCACCCATGTGGTGCTGATGTTACACCCTCCAAAGCTCTGAGTGTAGGACTCTGCTCTCCTGCAGTACAGGGACGTGGAAGGGACACTGAGAGTACAGAGCTGCTTTATTTTCCTTGGGCAGTTCCTCCATTCACTTCTTGTAGCTGCTGATCATAAGAGCAACTCACATCATAGGGGGAACTTGTAATTCTCTGTGGATTTTGTTTTTAGCAATAAGTACAAAAAATAAAAAATTATTATATAAAAAATTATATAGTGCCCCAAAACCCTATTATTTAAATGTGTTGATTGCACTTGGCATTTGTTGGAAATAGAGATATAGCATCTCTGTCTTGGGATGAGGAAGTAAAGATGAGGATTCAGAAGCTTGCCCAGTATGCAGCTGGTGGAAGGTCGCCCACCACTTAATCCACAGGTTCACTCCACTGCCAGCATTCCCAGGCTGCTGTGCCACTGCTCACACCAGGAACTCGTGCTGTTAAGTCAGGCTTGGTGTGTTTAAGTAGAGAGGGAGGGCTTTACCAGGGCTGAATCAAAATTCCATCCCTGGGGAACTGTTGTGATCTTGTTTTCCAGTGTGAAGACCAAAAGTGACTGTAAAAGGACTGGTTCTGTAATGGTAATTTTAAACCTCTTCTTCCTTTCCCCCCTCAGGTTAATGCAGTCATCTGTGGAATCAGTTTGGAATATGGCATTTGACTTCATTCTTGACAATGTTCAGGTAGTTTTACAACAAACTTACGGAAGCACATTAAAAGTTATCTGAACTTGTAGTAAAGAGCTTGGTGAGAGCCTGGAGCTCTCTGCTAGCTGTGCCATAAGTGCTTGTGAGGTATTTGCAAAGTGCATGATAGTAATGCCCTGAGTTTTTATAATTTCAAATTTCTTTTTAAACAACAAAGTGTTTTGTACATTTCTTTTCAGAAAGTGCCAAATTTGTCAGTATTGCATGTAAATAATTGTGTTAAAATTCTTTTATTGTAGTATAGAATCTATTTACAAAATGTTTGTTTATAAAGTTTTATGGATTTTTACAGTGAAGTGTTTACAGTTGTTTAATAAAGAACTGTATGTATATTTTTGTACTGATTCTATTTTGTGATGCTTCAGTTTGAATATAGTGAACCCCTTTTACTAAAGCTGCAGCTTTGATTCATTTCAGTTTTTACACAGTGGCACTGCCTCAGCACATGGAGGAGGCTGCTGTACAGGCACCTGGCCACTTTTTGTTTCTTCTTTGCTAACTTTATTACAGATTTTAAGATGAGGGAAGAATATTAGTTCATTTTCAGTTTCATCCTTCAAAGATTCAAGCCAGGGTGACCCAGCCACTCCTGAAGCACCCAGGATGTCAGCTGAAGCCTGGGTGCTGTTCCTTGGGTGTCCTGTCCCCTGTCACGTGCTTCTGGAGGAAGGCAAGTCACACCAAAATGGCCACACTAAAGGGGGGGGAGTGGCCAACATGGAGCACTGGTCGAGCCTGCATCCGTCCTCTGTGTTGCTGCTACTCAGGATAGAGCCACTTGTAAAGCACCCCTGTTCTCCCCAGCCTGTGGCACACATTTCCTTTGTGCAGCATAACAAACTAGATTGTGGGGAGCAGCTGAGACCAAACAAACCATCCCATCACTGTGTCCCTGCTTGCATCCCTGCAGTTCATGTTTCGGGCAAGTCTGCTTTTTGCAGGTGTGCACCAGCCTCACACAGTTGTACTTGGCCCAGTGCATTGAGCAAGGCTGTTTGGGGACCTGGAGAGAATGAAGAACACTTGACAAAATCCAAGTTGGTAAGAAAAATCTTGGCTGAAGAAGATGGGGCGGGGCGGGGGGAAGGTGAGAATTATGCCACATAATGCTGGGCATAGAACTGAGAGCAGAAATGCAAGCTGGAGCCAACCCTGGAGCAGCATTTGCATCGCTAGCTTAAATGGAAGCACCTTGCCTAGCAGAGGGCAGGAGCTGCTGCTGGAGAGCAGCTGCCAGTACAGCTGGGGCACAGAAAGCTCTGTGGTACATCCCTGGCTGCAGCACAGCTCACAGCAGTGGCAGCAGGGTTTTACCTTTAGGCTGTGACATTGGCTCTCCTCCTGCCATGCACTGGGAGAGCTACCAACCTCTACAGCCAGGTGACACATGAGGGAAGGGCAGGAGATGCTGCTTCCCTTGACTTCAGTATGGCTTTTTGTTAAATCTCCTGTACCATCCTCAGGGAGAAGCTGATGAAGAACAGGCTGGGGAGAGAAGTTAACTGAAAACTGGGCATGGTGGTCAGTGGTACCATGTCCTGTTAGGGGCCAGGCCCAAGTAGTGCCAGGTCCATCCTATTCATCCCCTTTGTAAAGGAGCTGGGCAGTGGGGCGGTGCAGCCTCAGCGCGTTTCTGAGGGCACAGGATGGGCTGAGGGGGTGGGGGTGCTGGGACCCCCGTGAAGTTCAGCACAGAGGTGCCAGGGTCTGCTCCCAGGGAGGGAGGGAGGGGCCAGCTCTGCAGTAAGGCCTGGGGCCTGCTCAGCACAGCACAGGCAGCTGCCAGGCTGCAGGAGGATCCTCAGGAGCCAAGGCAGGAGCTTGTTCCCTCTGCTCAGCACGGCTGAGAGGCCCCTGCAGTGTGGGCCCCTCGGTACAGAGCAATTCCCAAGCACAGGCCCCCGTGGTGCCGCTGGGAGTGGAGCTTCTCCCACAGCCCGGGGAGGGCTGAGACAGCAGGGACCTTGAGCAGGGAGGCTGATCCATGTGAATAAACACCTCAAGGTGCTCATGTCCTTGCATCCAGCCATCAACACATATCTGGAGAGATGGACATTGTCTGAGCCAAGACCTCTCAAGTTTCCCTTAGTTTCTAGGTTGCGTCTTTTGGAGCCCCTTCAATTCCTGCTTTTGAAGCTGCCTTGTTCTCTTTGCCTTGTTTAGAAAAACCAGCACATCAGCTGGCAGGTACTGCTGACACTCAACAGGTGTTTTACCAGTCAGGTTTCAGGCACAGCCCTGGTTTTTGAACTGGCTCTCAGACAGATGTACAATTGGCATCTTTAAAGGACTCAGCATTATTTGTCAGGCTGTTTTAAGTTCCACAACAGGAGCCTACCAAAGGAGCGTATCTGTTTCCCAGAGTGTTTACCTATGGGAAGAACACCCTTATAGATTTGAGGGAACAAAGAAGAATACGTTCACCACACTCTTATGACATCTGTGTTCTGAAGAACTTTTTATTAGTGTAGTTTTCATGATTGCATAGTTTGCAAAAGAAAATTTTAACAATTAAATGCTGTCTCCTCTCTCTGATCATTGTGTTCACCCACTGATGGGAAGTTGCACCACACACCAACCATAGTGAAAAGGTCCTTTTCAATGGCAAGTTTAAAGTCTAACCAAAAAAAATCCAGAAAGTTAAATTCCATTTGGAAAGGAGGTGAGTTACTAAATGTTCCTTTGTAATGGAGTCCACACAGTCTCAATCAAAACATTCAGATTTTTCAACAAAAAAAGTAATCCAAGTGACAGAAGAAATCTGATCAAACTGCATGTTGAATGTTAAACTCTTGTAAATATCTTAAACACTAAAAATCTCAGCTGCATTAACAATCCTCAATTTTGTTTCAGCTTGTGCTTTTGAAGAATGTTTGTTTTGCTCCATCAGCGTGAGCTGTGAGTTACCCAGGGACAGCCTCAGAAAGAATCCATCAAGCTGGCATGGTGGGCAGGGAGGCAGAGGGGAAGGGGGGCAGGAGAATGCTGGGATTGCAGACTGGCTCCTGGTCAGACGTGACAACCATCCACGCTGGAGCTGGTCAGTCCCACGGTGTGATGCAGGTCCACAGTCACAGCTCGGGCTGGCAGCTGGTGGCAGGAGCTCTCACCCTGAGCAGCAGCTGGAGCAGAGATCCCTGCTCTGACCTGGGAGTTCGGTGCTGAACACCCGGCCTGCCCCTCCCGTGCCTGAGCACACAGAAGTGCCTTCTGAGCAGGAAACGCCTCTGCTGGAACAGCCTCCGCCCTTTAGCCAAGCACAGGGAGGCAAGGGGGGCCCTGCCTGGCCTTTGCACACCTGCCACAGCCCGTGAAGTGAAATTTGGATTACTGAAGCAAACTGTAAAACAAATGGGCTGCTGTGTCCATCTCCTTTATTTGTGGCTCTGCATTATAATGATTACAGTTGACTTCCATGAACTGTACAAGCAGTAAAAGGTGGGCAGCTATGCTTTTACAACAATTGTTTCACACAAAGCAAATACAGAGATACCCAATTGCCTAATTTTCTATTAAAAAAAAACTCTAGAGGCACAAAGCAGAAGAATGTTGGAAAAGAAAGTCAAGGAAAGAGGTATGCATAAATAAAGAAGTATTTCTTACATCAAAAATGTCCCGAGAATCACAAAGTCTGCAGAAGCTTGGTTAATCAAATACTGCAGTACGGCTCTCATCAGTATAAAAGTGAAAGAGCTTTAGTTCTGTAATAAAAATTCAATTTATTTTATTTTGGAGAGAAGGAGGGAAAAAGGGTGGAAGGAAAGTGTAAGAGAGAGAAGGGCAAACTTTAAAACAGCAGCCAGTATTAGGAGGGGTAGTAGGAGAGGTGAACAGGCACATTGGAACCATGGGAACATGTAAATTGACCACTGTCAAACCAGTGTAAATTTCTTGGTTTCTCATGGAAAACATTTTATCCACATATTTTCCTCCCAAACATATATCCAACACTGTCTTCAATACAGGACTTTGTTGGTAACTTTTTAGTAACAGGAAGAGTGCATTTATTCCTGCCTCCCCATTGCTGCAAAAGTTATCTAGATGATTTCAAACACTTTCTTCAGTTCTACTATAAGCTGCCAGTCAGACTTCTGCATCTCATCCCTGAACCAGTCCTTCAGAGCATCGATGGACTGACGGCTGATCTGCAACACACGAGACAAAGCCATCAGAAAGGCACAGGAACTGACGGCAGCACACTGCAAACCGGTACTCTGAAGTCAGGGCAATCTGCACACCAGCTAAACTCATTCTAACCCCCTGTTTGCTTAATTTAAGCCCAGCAGCTGAATGACCCAACCTATCTGTTCCCCTTCACTTCTCCTCACACCATGTCCCTTACCTGGTCTAGAGGGGCTGCAGCTGGACAGTAAGGCAGGAACTGGAGAGCCTCCTGCTTCCACCAGGGCCTACAGGACCAGCAACCCCAGCCTGTCCCTATCCCAGGCCCTGCTGGCCCTTCATTCGTGGGCACACAGCCCTGGCACGTGTGTGGCAGGAGGTGTCCTACGACACAGTGACTAAAGCAGTTGGGAAGGTGGAGAGCTGTGGCTTCACTTCCAACAGCAAAAGATGAAGCAAAGGATCATCTCCTCATTCAAGCCCAGTGCCCCACAGTCAGAGCAACTGGAGGAGTGCTGGTTGTGCAATTTCAGGACAGGCTGTGGTGCCCTGGGCGACTGCTGAGCTCTGTGTACAAACAGCTGGCAATGGTGAGTGTGGCATTTTGCCCTCTCGGGTGCTCTGAGCTGCAAGGTCTTTGCAGCCACAGCACCTCCTTCCTCAGGCCTCTGCAGGGGCACCACTACAGACCTCACACCACAGCTCCAGAGGCCTGGGCTGCACGATGCCACACACACCCTCCCCAGTGAAAGTCAGTCTGTGACAGAAGGCTCCTCTCCTGTTTCTGAGGCTTCATGCTACATTTCACTTGAGGCAAGCTGCCACTCTGTCCTAAGGCCTTTCCACAAACACAGATTGCTCTTACCTTGCTGACGAGGATATCTGTTGCTTCAAAATGTCGTCCATACATTTTAGGTGATTCCCCAGGAATAGGTTCTATTTTAACACAAACTTCTTGGCCTTTCTTTGCCACATCCACTGGTTTGTGGTTTATTTCAATACTTGTGACTATTCCAATTTCAACAAACTGTAACACAATGAAGCAGCTGTAACACATCCACCAAACCTCTGTGCGTGCACCCTTCCCTAAACTCCTGTTTGGAGGCACAGACTTGCTGCAGGAAGCGTGGCACTGGCAGAGCTGCCCCCTCAGCACAGGCAAGCCAAATGTACAGCACAGCAAGTGCTCCATCCTGAGAAGGACAGGGACACCAACCTCCCACAGCCCATCTGGGATATCAACTGGTTAGCCCTTAAAATGTCAAGAGCTGGTTCTCCCCCTTTTTAGCTACCAGGTAGGACAATTTTGCCCATTACTCAATACCACAGCACAGAACTGGCAGGTGCCCTCCAGCCACACTTTCTGTGCCCTGCTCCAGGGCTCAACTCTTCTGGCAGAGTGCAGTGAGATATTTGAGCACCAGAAGAAAGACTTGATCTGCAAGTCTGACCCTCATCTCCCACCAGCAATCCGTGCAGAGGAAAAGCATGCAAGCACTCCAAGGAGCATCATCCCAGGGTACCAGCTGGATCAAACATGCAGTGGGAAGAGGCCCTTACTTACATTTTTGCTAGGTACACACATGGGAGTCCCCTGCTTCACCTGGCCGGCCTCAACCACAACACCCATCACTATTGGGTCACGAGAGTTGAAAATGAACTGAGGAAGTATTTTCAACTTGCATGGAAACACTGCTATATGCCTGGAAGGTGACAAGAAAAGGCACTTTGAAACATACATCCACTGCTCCAGTGTATCATTAACAGCTCTGCCTTCTCCCACACATCTTGGGCATTCATTCCAGGGGTGTTACTTGGAGAAAAGCAGGAAGAAACCTCTTTTCCAGTCTTGCTAATTCTAGTCCACCTGTTCTTCAAGAACTACAGGGAGTAATAATCATTCATGCCTGGCATGGATTTTAATTTGACAGGCTTGAGTGCTCAACTCAGACCAAGACCAAAGGAGTAGTAATTTTACAGTGTAATTATAGCCTCACATGAACACAGGAATAGAAATGTTGTTGCCTGAACTTCAGAATGTCAAGGGGTTTTTTTTTGCCAAGTGAACAAATACATTTAAAAACTGAGCAAAACAAACACAAGTTGGGATCAATATGAAACTAAACACATTTTCATTTATTTTGACTGTCCTTGTTTTACTGAAGGCCACCCAATGACACATGATGCCAAAAATTAATTTTGGGTCCCTATAAATCCTTGAATGATGACATATTCATGTTACTGCAGTCAGAATTAAACCCTCTACACTGGGATCACGTGAACATAAAACAATAGAATCCAAATCCTTTTAGTTTTGTTTTTTTAACTCTGCAAGACTAACCCATCTGCCACAATCTAGGAAGAGAAGCCAAGTACAGAAAGCAAACTGTAATAAAAACACTCCATCTTACACAACAGTTCTAGCTGAATCCTGCATCTGCTGCACAACTTTCACAGCTCTCACCTCACTGGGCCTAATCCAGACCTAAACAATTAGACTGGAGCACTGAATTCTTGAAAACTATCAATTTATCGTCCTACCATCTTCCTCCTCTCCTCCCTTTCCATCAGAACCATATGCTAAGTAATAAGGAAACAAGTAGGTAAATAGAGCTTCATTTATACTAAAATAAGAGAGACACTTATTTGGGAAACACCCAGAAGACAACTGCTCATACTTACTTGAATTCCTCTTGTTTCTGCTTTTTGTAATCTTGTCTGTATTTTGTGAAGGCATCAAATAAGTGATAAATGATTTCAGCGCTAAAGATGCGAACTCCTAAGCTGTCGGCCATCTCCTGCGCGTCGCGCTCAATCCGCACATCGAAGGCCAGGATGACGGCGTACCTGCAGGAACAGCGGCGCAGAGCTCAGTGCAGGGCACCCCAGGGCAGAGCAGAGCAGCCTGCAGCACCACTGCACATCCTTCTGCACTGCACACTACTCACTGTGGGTCGTGCTCCAGCATCACTGACGCCTTCATAACATCTTTTTTATGGACAGGACCGATATTAATTCCTGAATACTGTTGAAGAAAGCCACAAAAATCGAGTCACGAATCTCTGAGTGAAAAGGAAACATTTACTGACTAAACACAATCAATGGCATCAGACAAAGCACAGTAGTACTTACTGGCACTTCTGATGTTTTAAGAAATTCAAGTAATGCCTCTAAAGAGCCTAAAGTAGAAGCCTGGACGTAAACACCTTTCTCTTCTAATTTGATTGCATTCAGTGTTTGCTTCAGTTCATGTATTAGTTCATCCTTCAGGAAAAAAAAAGGAGAGAAAACAAGTTTTAGTTCTATTGCTATTTATGCCTCAGGGTACAAAATCTTCCTGTTCATGAGCTGCTGAAAAGAGGCAACAGCCAAGGGAAGGAGCTGCAGTGCAAACCATACACAGCCTGTGAGATACTGACTGTTTCTGGCATTAGAGAAGCCTGAGCTGAACTAGACCTGAGGATTCTGTAGGAAGATGATCATATAAAACTGAGCACCTTCAGAGCTGGTAACATTTCTCTGCACACCTCACATCACTTTCCCCAGCAGTACAAGTTGCTGCTGGCAAGGCTGAGCAAACACATGGCCCACATTGTGTGGCAATGCCTTGGCTGCCTGGGGATCAATGACAAAAGCTGACACCTAAAACCACGAGCTGGAAAGGATCCTGAACACTCTTTAGGCCTGGGTACCAAACAGGATGCAAGAGCAGCAAAGACAATTTGTTTAGAGAAGTGTAAAAAACCACATTTTTTTAGAGCCTATGCCTTCTAACCTCAAACACAAAAGTCTCTTCTCTGGCAGATGAATGGGTTTTGCCATTGAATTTTAGCCATTGTGTATCTACTACCAGTAGTACACTTGAAGTAAATACTCGTACAGACCCAGCAACAAGGTCTGTGTTTGGACATCTCAAAAGTTTAATCTCCCTTAAAAGGCACAAATAAATAGACAGAAGACTAAAGGAAGACCATGATTAAAAGTAAACTAGCAATGTGTAAATTGGCAACATGCAAATTCAAAGTAAATTAGCAAACTAACTTCCTGCCTTTGGAGAAGCAAAACACACACAGCAGTTTTGAGTTTAGGATAGCTACATCCTTTCCTCTACCATTTTTAACATGTAAGTCACAAAAGAAATTTATTGCAAAGGTCTTGAATTAGCTTTGCAATTAGGAGAGTTTGCAGAACTCCACTAGTAGATATGTACCTAATATAATTTGATTAGAGTATATCCATAATTTACTACAAATACCAAATCAGTAATTCACAGAGCCAAACTATGCCATGATACTTGTTTTCAAACCTTATTCTAGCAGCAGAGACACCCCAGCAAAATATCAGGAAAAAAAGCTAATGGTCAAGATACTAAAAATATCAACCCACCAAAGCTTCACATGGGCACAAAACATGTTACTGGAACAGTTTTTAAAAGAACCAAAAAACCCAGTTATTTGCAAACTGAGCTCTCACATTTGAGTTTCACCACCAGAGAGCTCAAGTTACCCTCAGTGTGTTGTAGTTCAACATCAGCCACCTCACCTTGAGGACTGGGACTTCATCCTCTTTATGAGCTACAAGCAATGGCAAACCAGCCAAGGTTTTTTCCAAATCTTTCCCAAGAATCTTCACACCTTGAGCAGCAACGACCTCTTTGTGCTTTTCATACTGGTTCTGAAAAAGAGAATATACACACTAGCACAGAGTTCTGTGCTGAGCAGCAGAAGAACACGGCAGGGAGCAGTGAAGTGCAGCAGCTCCCAACTTTCATCATGATGGTCTTTGCTTTGCACTTGCACCTTTCAGCCCTCCTGCTCCTCTCCCTTCAGATACCCCCTGCACCCCTGCCAAGGTGGGCAGGGCACAGGGAAATCTCAAAGCAGAGAATGGGGGGCAAAAGGAACATGTACTAGAAAAAAGCAAGCAACAATAGGCATCTACTCACTAATAAGACCCACAAATTCAGGCCCCTAGGTAAGTGATGGGAAGATGTTAACAACTTTACAAAAACACTAAAGCTTAGCTGACACACAGCCCAAGCCTCTCTGCAGGAAGGGCTGTCTCACTCTCCCACTGGAAGCCATCCAGCCTTCTCATGTGCTTAATTCCATGTACAATTCCCCAGGTTCTCTCCCCATCCAGAGGAACCTCAAAGATGTCACACTCGGGGCATGGCTCTAAGACATAACAAAACCAGTTATTTCTGAAGATCTTTAAATTGATGTTGGAAGGATTTTCTGGTTTGTTTCCTAATTTTTTATTTGGATGTCCCATCCTTTTCTTAAAACTGCAAGGCAGCTTCCTTCCTCAATAAGCACTTTGTTCACTTTGTTCCTGCAAACCTCTATCCTTTAGCCCTCCACTCCAAGAATCTGAATGTTATTTCAAAGATGACAATTCCACATGAACAAGCTGAATCAAAATGCATCCTCACTGCCTGCATCAAAAAAGCCCAACAGCTACCCTAGGTTTACTTCCCCTGCTCAGGGCTCCCAAACATGAAAGGTTTATCCTATTACATTCACCTAGGTTATCTATATGGTTTTCTTTGCCTTGAAACAAGTCTGTGCAGACATTTATTCCTTCCCTTTTAAACAGGAAACATCAAGCAGTTCTTTTCATCATCTTTGAACTGCATGCATTAATCTTAATATACATATTAATTTATTTACAGCTTTTTGATTCTGTGTCTCCTCATTTCAAGGAAAGCCAGGCAGGAAGGATTTTAAATTCAGGGCCTCTCCTCAGGCTAATAAGGGCAGCAGAACTTACAACTCTTGAAAGCACCAAGAGGCTGCAGATTCTGCAGAAGTCCTGGTCACTGCCACTCACCAACCAGCCCTAGAAACTCATGTGTTCACTTTTCTCAAATGTAAGTATATATGGTTTTTGTTACTAAAAAAACATTTCTACTAATATAACTTTAACTCAGAAGTTGCTGTACCAGTACACTCCAGTTTCTATTTGAGATGGGCATCTCCCTCTCACGTGTAGCCACATACTTGAATCCCTTCTTAAAGCATACACACCCTAATCCTCACTGCAAGGTAATTCCCTGATCATTCTCTTTGCCACTGCTGTGACAACACACACCCCAACACGAACATACAAGTACATTTTCAAAAAAGACACCAGATTTCCCCTGCATTCCCCTTGAAGCCCCCCTTAGATACCATTATTACAACCACATTCTACTACATTCTCTTTTTATAAAGCTTGATTTAATTTTTTCCTGGTTCTAAATGTCAGTACAGTAACAGCTGCCATACCTTAACTCGCAGCTCCTTCATAGGAGGAGGCAGCAGCAGACCTCTGATCTGAGTCACAATAGGACCTTCTACCCCAGGAACAATAATGGTGTCTCCTTCTCTCAGACGTCCATTGATCAGAATAACATCTATGGTCGTACCCATGCCTGGCAGTGCTTTCACCTGAATGAAAGGGGAAAAAAAGTTAAGCACTGCAAACACACAGTTTTTACCAGAAGGAAAGATGCAGGGAAGGGAGGAATTTCTATATGAATTTCAAGAAAGGGTTGCTGCATTACCTCCATGACTTGAGCTCTCAGCTCCTGACACTCAGCCAGTCTCTTGGTCAGCATGGTCTGTGTGAGCTCAACCAGAAGAGCTATAAGACTGCCCATGCCATCCCCTGTGTGAGCAGAGGTAGGTACAAGAGAAACAAAAGTGCGGGGATCCTTATTCTCATAAAACAAGGCAGCGTTCAAGCCCTGCAATCAGGATTAACAGTTACACAGGGAAAAGCACAAATATACAGCAGTATTGACAGTAACATTCAACCCCAGGCAAATGCCACTGCATTTTTAAAATTCCAATTTAAAAAGCCAACACTGTTACTGACAGCATGCTATGGAACAGAATTATCCCATACTGCTTCCAAGTGTGGACGGAAGCCTCAATCCACACTGGGAAGCAGTATGGGATAATTCCACAAGGCTAATTACCCCATCTAGCTTCTAGATAGCATTTTATGTCACCAACAGAGGAAGTTCCAGAACTGATGTGATTCATACCCTGCCAGCATTCAAGAGAGAGACAGATGGGATTCTCTCAGGCTATTCCCAAAGAGAAAGCGAACAGTGACAGAAAACCTCAACTGCTATTCATGACTCCATTGACCAAGCACAGAAATTAGCTATTTTTCTCCAAACCAGCAATAAGGAAGGAGCAGTTAAAATTATGCAAAATGTAAGAACTACAAAGTTTGATTTATAAGAGGTTAACACCAATATGTCAGAAGAGATGCAACAGCTTTCTTGATATTCCAAGTTGTTTTGAGGAACGGGGAAAAAACAAAACAAAACAAAAACCACCCACTCACCCAAAACAAACCACACCACCACACACCTCTTCACTAGGACTTTTAAGCAAAGAACATTGAATATTCCAACCTACCTGTTTTGCAAATTCCACTATGATAGCTTTTGCACGTTCTTCAAATTCATCTTTTGTATTCTTTTTCTGCTTCTTTAAGGTAACAGCTACATCTGTATCTGGACTTTTTTTCCAGTCATATAACCTATCAATCTTGAAAACACAACAGTATGTCATCTTATGCAGCTTACTAAAGGGTGTCTTTATGCTTATGCCACATCATCAGTGAGAAATACTTTATCAAACAACTTAACCAGCCATCTATCTGCCCCAGTAATCAAATTAAAGTGTTTTTATTTGCTTTGGCTGCTATATTTAGCTCTGTTTATGTCAGGCAGGATAGCAATGATACTTCAGATTTTAAAAATTCAGGCTATAGTAATCTCTTTCATATGAAAAAAGTTTATGTGCATAAATTATATCAAGGTTAAAATAAAACATTAGAAGAGACCTGTTTATAGATTCACATACACACAAAAAAACCCCAAAACCATGGAGTGGTTCATGATTTTTCCTGAAAAGAGACTACACTAGTTTTATGAAGAACTCCTAAAATTTGCTGGTAAATATGGACCCTGTCCCATGTTGCTACAGAGAAGGGACCAGAGAGGGGTTGTTCAAAAGACACAACTATGTTTCAGAAACACTTCCCCACCATAGCTGCCAAAGCAGGACAGACTTAGCCCAAAAATATCTTTGCTGTAGAAATCAAAACTACATCTTAAGAAAACTGATTATAACCTGGTCAAATAATACAACTATAACTTAAAATGCAAGAGCTCATAGCTATTGAATTTCAGGCTCACTGTAGGCCTTTGATGGCAATGAAAAACAGCTGGGTCTTCAGATGTGACCAATAGAGAACTCCCTACGACTCTGCCACAAGGCCTGGACACCTCTCCATCCAAGAGGCTGTTTGTATTCTTTCAAAAAGTAGCTGGTGTTGGCAATGAGATAATGCCCTCCTCAGGCGCAACCACCTTCCATCTTAAAGCTCCTTTCATTTTTGAAGTATATTGCAATTTTTACACTGCACACAAATAGCCTTCTGATAGCTCTCCCTCAACATATCAGATGGCTTCCAAAGCCATTGGACATGAGTGATTTCCATATATATAAAATAATTCACTGAGTCATCACAAAAAGGCAGCATAATTTCTCATGCAGAGGATTTTAAAAACAGGGCAGAAAAGAACTGGTAAATTTTCCATCTAATATTGCAAAGGCCAAAACACTTCCCACCAGTGATCAACATTACTGCTCCATGGCCTAAAGTCAGTTTGTCTTCAAGTCAAACTGACCAGTATCAGTGGCTAAAATAAAGTATGACTTGTCAAGGTGAAGCTTGTGTTGGAATTTTATCAGAAAATGGACACAAATCTATGTAAGTAGGCACAAGGAAAAAACCCCACAACTGAAGTACAACTTCCAGAAGGGTGAATCATATAGAGAAGTTACATAAGGCAACAAAATTTACCAGTCAGGACTCCAAGAACTGATTGTTCTGCAAAGCTCCCGTGGAGCCACTGTGATATCAAGGACACAAAAAAGCAACAACAGGAACCAAGAACCACCCCTTCAGATTTTACACCAAAAAAATTGCAGTTCAAGGAAGAAAAAAGACAATTGTCAAATGCCAAATGCACTATTAGAGTGGAGAAGTATACTATTAGGATAAAACATCTATCCTACCTTGTTGAGAGCTACTATAAAGGGGCATTTCTTTGATTTCAACAGATTTATTGATTCAATTGTCTGTGGTTCCAAACCATGCATGATGTCAACTACAAGTATAGCGATATCACAAAGTGAGCTTCCTCTATTTCTTAGATTGCTGTGACATTAAAAGACAGGAAAAAAAATCAGTTATTTAGCAACAGAGCCTTTATAAAAACACAAGTACAATGTCAAACTTACACTGACAAACAAAAAGCTAAAGCTCATCAGTTATTTCCCCTCAAAAATGTAAACCATTCAAATGACACTTTGTAATTTTCATTTAACAAAATACATCAATGAATGTAAGAAATTATTACACTAAGAAATTATTATTATCCTAAAAGTTTTCATATTATTGTATATTTTTACAATGCAAGATATGTTCTGATCATTTTCTGAGCAACAATTGAGACAGCTGAAGTGAAATGCAGGAGTGTAAAAACTGAACAAAACTTTTTTTATTTACTGCATAAACACTAAGACTATCACCATTTTATACAATACAAGGTAAAGAGACTATCATCACATCTTTGTTGGCAAACAAAACCTGACTAGAAGCTGTAAGAGGCACCATGCCAAGGCACTGATCTGAACATTACCAAGTGCTCCACAACACAGCACTTCAATGCTTACAGAGGTTTTTACTGAAAAATGTCACATCAAAGTCTTAATCCTTCTGTTTTGAGATTTCATCCAAGATCTCACCTCAGTGAGTTCAGTTGTGCTTGTCATGTTTTATCCTTAAAAGCTGATTTAGTGGCTTGCCTGTATGCCACTGGTGTTCCTAGAATGCATTTGATCTCTGCTAAGACACTGATGACTTGGGTAATTAGTAACTTCCAGTCTTACAAACTCAGTTACCTTAACTGGGATACTATGAATGAGAGACTAGGAAAAAAGTTTTAATTTTTTGAGTACTTAGGTCACCTGAAATCCTCACCTTTTTTCCTCCAGCTAGCTTCCTGCTTCCATCTTTCCTCTTACACTAACTATTTATTTACATGCTTTTTCAGATATTCATGGCTCAATTGGCACGAAGACAGAAAATTAATCAGCTATAAAAGGCCAGCAATTAACCAGATATAAAAAGCACCTGCAAATGAAGCAAATCCACTTAATTCCTCTACTTTAAGTTGGTTTTGTCGGACTTTTTTTCAAGCGAGAACTAAAACAATGGATTAAGCAAAGACCACACTTGGCTAAGAATATCTCCAGATGCTTTTGCCAACAGTTCTGAGAAGTACATTGTGAGAAAAGCTTACCTGAAGGACTCATGTCCAGGAGTGTCGATTATCAGCATGCCTGGAATTTTTATGTTCTCTCTGTCAAACTAACATTTCAAAATATTAGCCATCTTGTAGAGATTACACAAGAAGAAAACGAACAAAAAAAGAGCTGGCAACATTACTGACAGTCTGCACTTCAAAAATCCAGATACATATTTTAAGGCCGGCACCCTCTATAAACCAAATCAGTCAACAGTCATTTCAACATTAAAAAAAATGATGCAGCACATTCCCTCAGGTGCCAACTGGCCATAAGCTAAGCTAAAATCTGTAAGACAAGGCAGCCTACAGAAGAAAAGCCATTTCAGGGTAGTGAGATGTACCATCCTTGGCTTGATTACTTTCTCCTCTCTCAAGTTTACAGGCTTACTGAGTTGAGTTAAATCTTAGAAAAAACCATCACTACACCAAGGCTTTACAGCCAGTTGCTTCTGCAAGCAAAATAGGATATAGTATCCAAAACAAATGATACAGAACAGTTACTATGTCTGTAACATGATAAAATTCATCACCCAGAAACTGGCCAAATTTCAGTACACACAGCAAAAGGTAAGTTTTCAACACAAAATATACTCAAGAGGTTTCAAGAGTCTCAATTTACAATCAAAATACTGACAAGTAAGCAGTCTGCGTACATATGTGCACTGTCCAGAACAGAGTGAACAGTACCTTCATATTTTTCTGAAGAAACAGCAATGCATTAACTGAAATCCAATGTATGAAAAATGAGACAGCCTCCCCTTTGCTGGGGGAATGACAGGAATTAAAAAACACTAGACCACAAAATTAGAGCAGGGGGAAGTATCTGTCCATGCCAGGAAATCTCACAAGGCCTTTATTACTCTACATTTCACATTTGTTAAGATGCAGTTGTTGAAGTGCTATAACTTACATTTTTCACCATCTTAGTTTGTTCATTAATAGCTTCAAGAGGAACATTAGTTGCACCAATCTGCTGAGTGATACCACCAGCTTCACCGTCCTGCACGTTAGTGTGGCGGAGCTAAAGACAAAAAAGACCAGAAACTTTTGAGCACACTCTAATTCCCTCTGTCTTCAAGCGAAAAAATAAATGCTTAAACAAGAGGCACAGGAAGTGCTTTCACACTCCGCACCTTACCTTATCTAAAATTTTGGTCTTGCCTGTGTCTACATGCCCCAGGACACAGATAACTGGTGCTCTGAGCTTTTCAGTGTTCATATTTTTGCTGTTTTCAGTTCGTCGTTTCTATGTAAAAAACACATACAAATTGGTAAGTATAAACCAAAAAACACAGTTCACCTCTTGACCTGATTACATACACACAAACACAGAGTTAGTTGTTGGACTTATATTTTCAAGGCAATTTAAGGTCTGTCATCCCTCTTTTGGTAAATCAAAAATTTTTAACTAACAGTTACATTTTTGTTTGGTAGGTTCTTCTAACAGTCTAGCAGGCAGAGTTGTTATAAGCACTAAACAGTAGCTTTGCTGAAAAGCATTCTGAACAAGCACCTTGGGTGAGGAAACCAAGAACATCAGCAGCCATGAAAGCACTGAACACTTTAGACACATCTTTTAGAACCTGAAAATACCTATCTGTAAAAAACAAAAGCCTCTTTTCCCAGGAGGAATATAGAGGTGGAGGGGAACAACACTTAAGCTGCCACCTTTGTGGTCAAGTTACCTAAAAACAAATACTTTATCTTCACACAAAACCAAGTATTTTTTTTCTTAATTAATACAATTTCTGAACCTGCCTAAATATTAGCCCTGACACAACCACCATTTTGACAAATTTGACAAAATAAGCTTAAAATCAATCTGTTTGTTGTACAACACAAGAATCCAAGTGTATCTTCATACCTCAATTCTCCGTTTAGCTTTGTCATAAGCACGCTCCTCCTTCGTGCGGTCATCGTCAGAGTCATACTCAGAATCAGAGCTAATTTCCTTGCTGGGCTTCTTTTCCATAGATTGTTTTCCAATAGCTTGGGAGTCTGGCTCTCTCTCATCTGAAATCTTTTCATCCTCATCTTCACTGCCTTCACTGTCTTCAGATTCTTCACTCTCTTCTTCCTCTTCCTCCTCTTCCTCTTCCTCCTCCTCTTCATCATCCACTTCATTTTGTTCTTTGACTTCAATATGGACAGGTTTGCTCTCTGTTAAAAAAAAGAACGAGTAAAGTAAAAATTCTCTATTAAAGTTCACACTTCTGGGGGAAGATGGCACCAAAAAGCAAGAGACTATCAAAGAATGAGGACTGAGAGTTGGCTCTACTTAAGTGCTTGTCAAGATAATTTTTCAACTTCCAATGTAAAAAAAAAAGTGGAAAAAAGTGTTTCACGTTCAGAGTTGTTGGTTTGTGTTTCAAATCCAGAAAGAAAGCAAATTTAGGATGGAGTGAAGAATGATATTATCAGCACACTTATGTTTAACATTATTTGCAAACATACAAACATTCTTTAAAGTCATGTGCCCTTCATAAAGGGATAATGCACCAACATCTTTTTAATAAAGCCAAAATACTCCAAATCATTACTATATGGATTCTGTACACCACTGATCAGGAAGGCACATTTAAGCAGACATAATAATCAGAACAAATGGTCTCTTTTATGCCTATTTTAAAAAAATATCATCTTCAGGTTTTCTTAGATGGTTCAGAGAAGCTGAGCATTTTTCATAGAAATTCTTCAATAAACAAACAAAAGAATGATCAATAAGTAATTTTCTTTCTTTGAAAGTTTCCCATTTATAATCACCTGTAAAATCATAAAAGGCAAGCTGATGATCACTTTAAAATCATGGACTGTCCTCCTTACAACACTGCTGGCAGGCTCACTGCTCCTAGAGATTAGTAACATTTCCTTGCTACACTCATAGTCCATCAGCTTAGTAAAACACCAAATCTAACTCCCAGGAAGGCTCTTTTTCTGTATCCCCTCAGCAGAGCCTTCAAAGCCAAGCAGTAAGAAGTGCTATGTCCTCTCCAGGACAGTGGTGACAGACTAAAACACTCAAGAAGGCTAGCAGCCCTTAGAATTTAAAAGCACCAGAGGAACACATCTGTTCTGGAATTAAATCCATTCTGGAGTATGTATCTGTATGTCAAGTGTTACACTTGAAACCACAGGTGTCAGAAGTATAGGCAAGTAACAAGGACTTGATGAATAAATAGTCTTTAAGAAGCAATTAAGACACTAAGGAAGCACCAAGTCCAGTAACCAACTCGTGTTCAGGACAGCTCACAGAAATACACTTTCCTCCACCACTGGAAGGAAGTTATCCCTGCACTGCAGCACAGCCCCAAGTTTCCCATACACATTGCTGTTGAGCACAAACAGAATATGGCCTTTGGCACACATGCACAGGAATATTTATGTTCTGGCAATTCCTTCCTTTCCTCTAAACCTGCCTCTCAAAGAAGCATATCATAGAATCACAGAATAGTTTGGGGTGAATGGGACTTCAAAGACCACCTAGTCACAGCCTCCCAGCCAAGGGCAGGACACCTTCCACTACAGCAGGTTGCTCAAAGCCCCCTCCAACCTGGCCTTGAACACTTCCAGGGAGGGGGATCCACAGCTTCTCTGGGTAACCTCTTCCAGCATCTCACCACCCTCACAGTAAAGAAGCTCTTTCTCAATTAAACCTACTCTCAGTTTGAATCAATTTCTCCTTGTCTTGTCACTACATGCTCTTGTAAATAGTCTCTCTCCATTTTTCCTGTAGGCTCCCTTTAGGTACTGGAAGGCTACAGTTAGGTCTATTCTATTCCAGGCTGAACAATCCCAATTTTTTCGGCCTCTCCTTGTAAAGAATTTACTATAACATGCACACTTAACCTTCACACCATTTTATTTCCTCACTTCTTTGAAAACTTCTCGCAGGGGTACTGTCTTAGATGCTGCCAGATTCACGTAATAAAAATACTACAGCTTTGAAATTGTTACTAGAGAAATACAATAGCAGGTAAAAGGTTTCCCTAAGCTCACAGAGATGGTTTAAGCACATATTAGAGAAGAGGATTTTTACTCCCATAACAAAGGACAAAAAAATTACAACCCATTTATTTTAGATAGTAACTCCACAGAAGAGTATTTCCAAAGGGTTGTCTTAAGCAGTATTTCCATGGCTTCTGAAAGCTCTGCTTTTGAGAAGAGGTTCTTCTATGTATTTATCATCATACTTACCTCAAAATTTATCTAACAGAGCAGAGGAAAAATCTAAGTAAAATATTGTTTTCTATAGAAACAGAAAACTTAACCAGAAAAAACATACATCTGGTATTTACATGCCCACCTTTCTCTGCATCTTCATCACTAACCATAGCTTCCCAGTCATCCAGACCTCCATCTTCTGTGTCATCTTCTTCCTCCTTTTCTTCTGAAACCAAGAAACCCAATACCGAAGTTAAAAAAGTCAGTCCAGCAAGATATAACATTTTTAGACGCCCCTTCTTTTGACATACTGACAACTGCAACTCACAAGTTTGCTCTTAGCATAATTCTCTTGAAGTATCTCCACACTCCATAAGAAGATGCTGCATACTTAAAAAATAATCTCCAATTCTCTCCACAAAAATCATGTAGTGCTAGCATCTTTGCCTAAACAAACTTTTGTGGAAGAGACAGAAGACCTGCTCATCTAGTTCCTGTCTGCATATCATGCCAATGTCTGCATAATGCCTGCCACACAAACCTGCACCACAATCATGATCCTTGCAAGGAGTTGCCCAATTAACAGGCACCATGTGTAACAAAGTAGCAGAGAAATAAGAATATAAGTCACAGTAGAATTTTACCTAGCGAGAATATACAAATTGTCTATATAAAGGACACCAGGTGCCTTAACATAACTACATCATGGATTCCAGAAGCATTAAACATATTAATTCAGCAGGAATTTGGTTAGATTTATGAAAAGACTGCAGGTCTTAGTAAGACATGAATGGAAAAATGCAAACATACAACTCTCTCAAAAAGAGGCATTATATAACATGTTTGCTGCAGCACGTGTGCCATAAATTTCAGCTCTCTGAAATGAGGACTAAGCTCCACACTGCTAGAATATTAGCTAGGAACTAATGTTCTGCCAGTGAGCCCTTCTCTTAAGGCAATAGAATGGCAATCATGAATGGCCATCTTGTAATGTGGTGGGTTTTTTTTAGGTCAAGCTAGAATCACAGGACACATTCAGCTTTGTTTTCAAAAGCTGCACATTTTGTCAGTATTTGCCTGCCTTAAGAAGGGTAAAAATTGAAACAGTCTCCTTGCAGAGAAAGAAGTCCAGTACAATGTGATTTTGACCAAGCAAGTACTGTGTATGGGCAAAGATGAGGGCAACCGTCTGATCAGCAAACTTGCTGATAACTCAGTTTCACAAGCTAACACACAATCTCTTCATTCAGCACCTGTGAAAGCAAAACGTGTGGCATAAAGAATACAATCACTGTGAATATTGCACTAGCAATTCTAGAAGCAGCATATTTCCTCCCTACCTTCACCTAACTGTCGACAAAGCAGACTTGTAAAAGCAAGTGACAAGTCAAGGGAACGAATAAGGCACTGAATGTGCTCATTTGAGGTAACTGATCAAGCTAATTGAACACTGGAGCTGAACACTGGAGTTCACCCAGAATAAGGAACCTTTACCACACTTGTTTTGAAGCTTCATGCCTTTTACTCCATAAAATTTCATCAATTCCTCCCATAAGAAAGGAGAAAAACAAGAAAAGGCAACTGCCTCAAGAAAAGATGGCCATTCAGCCCTATCCAGCAAGGTCCAATAACTATCATGCAGCACTGACACACAAGCTTAAATGTTTAGAATTTATTAGCATCACCACCAACCTGGATCTACAGGAAGAGGAGCCTCTTCTTTCACTGGTGTTTCCAGTTCTACGGCATCTTCAGCTGGGGAAGTTACCTCCACACTTTCTGCAACTGCAAGACAGGAAGTTGGTTGCTACATCCTTTCAGAGTGCAAATTACCTGACATTCAGACAGCTTCACTCCAGCTTATTTGGGAAACACTTGGCCTTCTAAGTAGTTGAACACATTTATAAGATAGGTCAGTTATTGACATTAAAAACTCCTCATTTTCTTTAAAAGACAAGGGAAAACTAAGTAATACTAGTGAACTACCCACACCTCCCCTACTGTTCCATTAAAAATGAAAACTAAAAAAAAAAAAAACGAAAAAATTAATGAATTAATGATATGATTCAGATAAGCACCATTTTCAATTCTTTACATAAATTCTTTACAAACACTCCATAAATAATAAGCAGGCATGTAACTAATGTCAAAAAAAAAAAAAAAACACCAAGAAAAAACAGCTAAGTAAGAAATACACCTGAAATTTTTAAACTAAGGGTTAGGCTTGAGAAAAGCCACAGTAATTCCCTGGAGGAAAGTAACAAACCACAAAAGTAAAAAACTGACACGGTCAACCTACATCTACCAGTGCAATGAATTCCAAGGTTTCAAAAATGCAAGCTCCTTGAACTGCTCTGAACAACTTGCACCCAGGAGCTGAAAACTGGTTTTATATACCAGAAAGCAAATGAACAAACTGTCTCCAATTTAAAAGTACTAAAACTAGGATCAGTGTATTTTCATCCTGGGACAAACTCAGACTTAATTATAAGACACTATTATTTAAACTACTTTGCATTTGATGTACATATGCACACAAAGCACTCAACATCACATTTGTAAAAGGCCTTTACAACCTGTACATCCCCAACATTTAGAAAAACTAATTTCATTTTGGGGTTTAGATTAAGATCAGCTGATTTATTTTAGAAATAATTCCAGAAATGTGACTGATCAATTAGGTATCCCTATATGGAAACTACACCTTCTTTATTTTCTGGCTGCTGCTGCTGCTTCTTTCTCTTTTTGTCTTCATATATTGGCCTCTTCTTTGGCACAGAGTCTTTCGATGGCACTTCAACACCTGCAAAACAAAGAAAAACCTGTTAAAAAGAAAATCCAGATAATTAATAAACATAAACTTTGGTTTAAATAAGAACATGTTTTCAAACACTGGAAGATGGAGGAAGAAAGAGTAGAAAGCAGGTTCAATGCATATTTTATAATTTTTAAAAGTCTGAATTCAAAAGCTAGAAAACTTGAAAGAAGTATAGTTCTTCAGATACTCCTGAGTGCTCTCAAAAAGAAGTCAGATAACTGGAGGAAGGCAATGGCAATGAAACAAAAAATAAACGAAGCAATCAGATTCTACGGCTGTAGGTTTGAAGTTATCACAAACCTGCATAAAATGCCATGAACACAAATGTCATGATTAACAATTTAAGGTCTGCTATATAAAAATTCACCTAAAACCTGTCTGCCAATAGTTTTAGTTTCAGACAATTTGGAGCAGTTCACAGGCAGAACTCTTCTTAAATGCTTAAGGTTATTCAGCAGATAACATTTTCCCTTTTGCTCTTAGGGAAGGTTTGTGTTTCTCAATTTGTTTTGTTTGTTCAGACTTTTGGGTTTTGATTTGTTTTTTTAGTTTTAAGGGTTTTTTAATTGTACAATACTGATGGTTTCAGGTATTAAAATAATGCCAGGTTCAATTCACCAGCTTCATCTTTGCCTCACCAGGAAGTGGGTGCTGTAATACATGAAGGGATTCCATCAAAACCAGAAGTTTGGTGCGAAGACAAATTAAAAACTGATTTACTGCTGCACATTCAATTTTTTTTTCAGTTTTTTTTTAATATTGCAAATCTGACAAAAATGCTGTTGTAGGGGCACAAACAGAAAGATACTACTAGCTACAGCAACAACCAAGGACAAATAACCTTCATGTATGTTTAAGAGCTCCAAACATTTTATAAGCTATGAAGATTCCTACATTTCTACATCCACCTACCAGTAAAGTGTCAGATACTGTACTCTACAAATACACTCAGCTCCCACAAATTACTTTCTTTTTTTAGTCACAAACCAGTTACCAAGACCAATTTAGGACATTTTACTTACAACATATTGGACAATTTTACTTCATTCTAATGGAGACAGATTATATTTCACAGAAAAGCAGGAAAGCTCTTACATACTCCTGGCAAATCCCAGAGAAAAACAAATCTTCTCCATGGATTTCCCCATTGTTCCTGAAGCACAACAGTGCACTTGCCTAACTAAGCAGTGGAATTAATTCAAGATGCAGATCACCGGTCTAACAAGACCTTCAGCACAGCCCATGTGCTTTTCCTGGCCTTTAGACTGCACCACTTCTTTAAGTACTTTTTCCTAAGTTCCAAAAGTAACATCTTTAAACTGCAAGTAGACTGTATTAAAAAGCTGGATATCTAAAGTGTAAGACAAAAATACAGGCACTTAAATCTGCTTAAGAAATAAAGGGGAAGGGAGGGCACACACTGCCTTTCTCGACAACAGAGCAGCTTTACATGGAATCACTCAGTACTTGCCCTCCTAGCTCCAGGCAGAAAAATAATAAACACAGAGCCATAACGGATATAAAGTTTGGCTGGAGTTTTTGGTTCAGTTGGGTTTTAATAATTATTAAGGTCTACTGCTTACCCTGAGCTTGGAGTAGTTTAAGAGTAGCCTCTGCTCTGGCTCTGGCTTCTCGCTGAGCTTTTGTTAAAAGCTTTCCCTCTTTCTTCAAACGCTCCTTCCTCTCTTTTTCCTTCTGTTTCTTTCTTTCTTTTCTCTCTTGCTCTAATCGTTCCTAGAAAAAGAGAAATAAACATGCAGAAACCCTAAAGCATGCTTTACACAAAAGCTGCCCAAGCACAGTCTGTTCACAAGAGCATATTAAGGATTAATTCACTAACTGCACCAGCAAGCAGAGATTAAAGTTACTCCCTTATTTTATCACTGGAGTGAGAGATACAGTACCTCCTCTTTGCGCTTTGCTTCAAGTTCTTCCAGTCGTCTTATGCGCTCTTCCTCCTCTCTTTTGGCCCTTTCCTCCTCCTCTTTCATTTTAGCCAAGGCCTCTTGCATGGCTTTCACTGTGGCTTTACTGGGACCCTTCTTCTTCTCTTTCTCTTTTTCTTCTTTCTCACCTTTCTTTTTTTTCTTGTCTTTTTTCTTTTTGTCCCCCTCATTGTCATCAGCTACAGAAAGAAGAGGCATATTTTCAAAGACCCCAGAAATTTCAAAGATACTCTAAGTACAATTTACGTTTCAAATATGATAAATAACATCAAATGAGGAATGTTTTCACTGGCTGCTGCATAAACATTTCATAATGAAAACAATTAAACTCTCTTATGTCATGGCCTGAAGTCTTAAAGTATCAGAATAACAGGGAAGTGAAAAAGTACTCTTGCAACAGAGAACTGTAATCATATACTGTAATGAGAATTCACCATTTGGCTTGTTTTCTCACATACCTGAACAAACTACAGGCCAGAAAACACAGCCAGCTGTGAGCCAACACAGAGGCAGACAAGGCTACCAAATTTCTAATATTCACAATTCAAAATAAACCAACACACTAACCTCACTGCCTGACATCTCTCTGGCCTTATGAAAACTACAGTATTTAACTTAAAGTTTAAGAGACCACGTTACAAACCTTCTGTTCCTGCAGCAGTCTCTCCTTTCTCCCCTGTAACTTCAGGAGAAGCCTTCTCTTCAGCTTTTTTTAGCGATTCCTTTGGCTTTGCTGGTTCTTTACCACCTTCTAATTCCTCCTTCTCCTTCTGCTTCCTCAATTTGGCTTTTTCTTCTTCACGTTTTTTTCTTTCACGTTCTTTTTTTTCTGCCTTTTTCTGAGCCACTGTTTTTACTTTGAATGAAGGTTCTTCTTCATCATCCCCACTCTCTGCAGCAGGAGCAGACTTTGGCTTTTGGTTTTTCTTTTGTCCTTTCCTAGACTGGGAAACCTCATCTGATTCATCACCGCTCTCGCCTGCAGACACTCCTCCCCCACGCTCTTTGCTTTTCCTAATGTTAGTTTCATCTTCTTCTGACAAATCGTGCTTTTTATTTGACTTTTGAGTTTTCCCTTTGCTTTTCTTAAGTTGTGTCTCATGATCATCATCATCACTGCCAGAAAGCATGTCTTGTTTTGCTTTCTGAGTTTTTTTGGATTTTTTATCTTTATCTTCCACTTCCTCACTGTCATAGTCATTTTCCAGATTGGCTTTTTTATTTTTTCCTTTTCTTTTTTTATCTTGCTTTGATATGCTTTCTTCATGGTCATTTTCAACCTGGTAATTAAACAATTCAATAATCAGCCATGAAAATTACCTGCCATCATGAACTAAGCATTGAGATTCATCAAGAAAAACCTCTCTTATTGAGCACAAAGTTAGAAAGCAATAACTACTCCTGCTGAGTGTACCATACTTCAGCCCACAAGGAAGATTTATTCTGATTGGATTTCAATAGTTGTCAGCATGACTACATTTTTTTTGTGACTGACTTTTCACTATGAAAATATGATCAAATATAATTAAAAGACCATGCTAGCCACACATTTCACATAGGATTTCTACTACACTAGAAGTTCTCTGGGACAGAAGTATCTCATATTTTAATTATTTCCTATTAAAAAGCCCACCTCCCTCTCAGTGTTCACCTTTCCTGTAGAAGGCTGTTCCCTGTCAACTTTCCCTCCTTGCGCCTCTATTGACAGTTCCTCCAGCTCCTTCAGGATATCATCTTCACTAAAATAAGAAAGAAGTTAGGGCACTTAAGTAACTGAGTTTTTGGACAATGGAGTAAGATCAAGCAAGTGGAAAAAACCCTAACTTACTCAAAATCTTGTTTCTTCTTCTCTTTTTTCTTTTTGCCTTTGGATTTTTGAGGCTCTTGATCCTTTGCAGCTCCAGCACCTTCTATCTCAGCAGCAAGGGCATCAATATCAATATCATCTTTTGCACTGAAATGAAGAAGGAAAGCAGGGTTATCAATAGTTCAAACATTAAGTTTACATAAGTAGAAGCCATTTGAATAAAAAAATAAAAATTTCAAAATGCAAAATCAATCCTAAAACATATACAATGCAGGAAAAAATGCTCCACGTTTAACAAACGATTATGCACTGTTACCTTATTCCACTCAGCAGGAAGGGAAGGAAAAAACCTTCACACATGTGGTCTGCTTGAAGGGAGGTGGAACAATAAAACACATTCAGTTCTTGCAACCTCAGCATTGAAAGTTTAGCTGTGCAATTTGATGTAACTTCTTGGAAGAATGTAACTAGACTGTTTGCCTTTGGTCCTCCAAAAGAGAAGTTGTCTGGCCCTTCAATTCACCGGTGTCATTGATAGAAAAGCAGCCACCGCAATCGAAGTGTAAAAATAAAGCACAAATTCACAGCCAGGGGATATCCTACTACTTATCTGTTCCTTCAAACACCCTTTAGCAAACAAAAAAACTGCTGCATTTTTATTCAGCAAATAACTCACATTAACAGTTACCTCTGCCTTGCCATCAGACAAAAAATTTTATTATCTTTCAAGAAAAGAAGTCTCAGAGATGAACAGAGTTCAGCCTCAAGCCAGACTTTAAAGCATATAATAAAAAATACCAATGAAGCTGGCAAGCAATCATTTGTACCACTTGCCTTAGTATTACCTCTCTGAGGCCTAAAGAAAGTCAAAGAAGGTTTTGTACAGGCATTTTACCTAATCACACTCACAGTACAATTGTAAGAAAGGAGACTGATTTACTCCATGCTTCACACTTAGAGCTTCTATACGGAGATCAAAACTGGTCTGATGCTACTTCTATCACAACTTGCAATTTCAAAACCCATTTATTCAACAAGCTGTTAATATTTCATTTAACTGCCTCTTAGATAACTGGACAGAAAACTGTTGTTTTACAATTTCACTGTCCCATTTATTAGCACCCACTCAGGATAAATCAGCCAAAGGTTGACTCACCAAATACCCAAAACTATATCCAGAAAATAAGAGAAATAAATTTCTTCCAGATTCAGGACTTTCAACATATCAGCAAATTCTAAACTACCAGAGCTTCAGTTGTGCCAATTTATAAATCCAGAAGTTAAATCTTAATAAAGAAAACCAAGTATTTCATTAGTCAGCTACAGATTCTAAAATCCAGCAAGTCTAAGTTGCAGTTCTCTTTGCAAAAAGGAAAGGGCTGGATTCTTCTGCAAGTGAATGCTGATATATTGGGAATATGCAAGTTACCAAAAACTGTCCACATGTGTTGCTTAGTTGTGCTGTTGTCAAAGTATGTCATTTTCTTTAAAGGCCAAGATGGATTATTTGTATTTTTAAGATCTTATCTTTTCTTCTGGGTAGACTTGACAAACCAAATAAAAAGCTGCACAACAAAGAACCTCACAGTTCAGCACCTGTATTGCCAGAGATACTTTTAGTCAAGAGAAGAAAAAACACACCTAAAATACACCTAGGAACACTTCCTCATGTGCTCATTTGCAATACATTTGTCAAAAGAAATATCTCTCTCATTATAGTTAATGCAAGTTCTCTAATGTAATCCTCACCTTCCCCAAGAGAAAACACACATTTTGGCCATTCTCGCCCTAAGATGATGTGATGTTTCAGCAATTAAAGTGCATTTTAATAAGCAGTTTAATTGGCTATATATCAGGGCTAACAGCTAAAATAAAAATGCCACTCACTTCTATAGCTAGAATTAAAGCCCTAATGTCAGGCTAACTACATTACATCCATGCCTACACACAGGCCCTTAAATTTGTTTTTGCATTGACTGCTGAGTATCAAGTTCATGAAGCTTTGCTTACCTTCCCTTCCTCTAGGAGTTAATGGAGGAGACTGAGTCATCCCCAAGCCTGAAGCAGATTTAAAGCACCAAACACGTGCTCTGCTACTGCTTCCTGCAAGGCTGCACTGCTCCCCTCACTACAGGATCTCAACCATGTGGATGTTCAGATGCCAAAGCACCAGGCCTTTACACAGCTCAGATTTCACATGGAAATTACCAAGGCTGACTTTTCACAATGCAGCACAGCAGAAAGTTATGTCCAAAGATAAAACACACGGGTTTTTTGCTACAGGCAAAGAAGATGTCATATCTCATGTGCTATCTCATGTTCTCCAGGGTACAGGCTTTGAGAGGGTAAGGTTTTATTTGCTGTTAAATCAAACTCACTTCAACCAGACTTTCAGGAAGAAAAGTTCTTTAGGGAAAAAAAAAAAACACCTCAAACACTGAAAAGGCTATTTGACAGACATTAAGTTTTCACACCCACCAGCAAGAACAGTTTAGGAATAATAATAATATTAATTAATAATAATAATGATAATGATCACCCAGCTGTCACAACATCGGCATCAATGCAAAAGCCTTTCCAAAGTTGTCTTTCATTGCTTAGTTTCTGAAAAAATGGTCAATGGTTTCTGACCAAAAAAAAAAACTCACCAGGCAACCAACCCACCCACCCTAAAAAATCCTCTTTACTTTCCACTACACTTTCATTTACTAAGAAGTGACAGAGCAAGCTTCAAGTATTTGAGCCTCAGTGAAGTAAGAAGTAAAATTAAGGCTGCATGCAATTATATATACAGCTATAACTCATAAGAACTAACAAGTAAGAATATCATTGGAAACCTAAGGAATTCAAACACTGGTTTCCATTACTTCAAGTTTATTCCCACACTGATCTTGAATTTCTTTCACTTTTAAAACTCTAATAATATTCCACTAGGATTTAAGAAGAAAGCTGAAAAGAAAATTAAGAAGGTGCTCCCCTCCACTCCTGGGAGATTCTTATTCCTTTTTATAGAGAACCACTACACTCAGACACATAACATGTATCACATTTCCTATGGCACTGTCAGATACACCATGGAACCTTTTCTTGTAAAGGCTTTTAAGCAGTCCCCCAACACACATTTCAGAAACCCAAACATTCTTTCAGGAACCTCCTTCTCCAAGATCTCCTAAAGGTCCCCATTCAGCCTTTACTAGGGTCCAACTCTAAGAGGGCTTGATAAAGGAACCTGAAAGGACTGGAATGCTCATGAGGTTTTCAATTTTGACCTCAAACTGCTTTTGTATGAAGACATCATACACAGATTTCACAGCCTCACTACCTTAGACCATTCAAGCCATAATGCTTTGGCACTTAAAAAAACCCCTCACATTTCCCCAACATAAGAGGCTCAAGGAGATCTGGAAAACAAAGTGCTACTGCACTGCAGAGATGGAGTCACTTCCCTGGATTTCCTTTGTCTTTGTTTCAGAGACGAAGCCTAAGCCACCTCTGTTATTCACATACTTTGATTTCAGCCTCTATTTTTGTTGCCAGATATAAAAAGAGTTTTGATACTGCTAAAGCAGCATTTCAATGCATTACATTACAGCAGGAATTAGGTGTGTGTACTTCACTTAAACCTAAACAAGCAGTTTTCAAAAAATGGCTGCAGACATTTTCCCACAGAGATCTGTGCCTAAGGTAGGGCAAAATTCTGCAGTGGGAAAATACAAGTCACATTAATTAAAAGAGAGCAGTAATCATTAACATGTACACAGAGATCACTATATTTCATATATCAAACAAAATATTTTTCTTTAGAATTACATCACTAATCAAAAAGAAAGTGCTCATCATTTTCCCTACACAGTTTCACTGCCTTTTGCCATTTAAGCAAGATTAGTTATGTAAATCTTTAAAATAGCACACAGAAACATTTACATACTTTATACTGAAAAAATATTTCCCCTTAATGCCCTAGAAGCTACATTAAGAACTCTACTGTTTCCCAAAAGGGTTTCAGTACAGGTTGTCTGCACAAACCAGTGAACACCTGTATTACATGGGAGAATCCACTTAAGGACAGATTCCTGAATATTCACTGGGTCACAAGTTAAAAGGTGTCCTAACACAACACTCTGTACAAAGCTAGGATCAAATATTCCCACACCATCCCAAGTAAGTGTTTGGAGATTTTTAAGATGGACATAGGGAACAGAAGAAATTCAGTAACCTAACTCACACAAACAAAGCATCAGATCAGGCCAGTAACAGAAACTGATACCCAAAACACAACCTAAGTTGCTCATGTTAAACAAAAATGTTCAACAACAAATAAAGCTACAATTCCAAATCCTGCCTATAAGTATTAAATTTCTTTCAGTGGGAAGAATAAACCAGCTAGGAAATAAAAGAGCTGTCACCTACCACTGCTCAGTCAGATGTACAAAGACATCCAGTAGCTCTGCTATTTATAAGATCCCACACAGTTGCAAGCTATTGAGTCAGAAAAGGGAAAAAAAATCTTGTGACTGATAGATGCACAGTCTGTAGAAAAAAAGCCAAAACCTCTGCTGTGTTCCTCTTGCTGTTACAGCAAGGAAACAGCATTAAAGACTAGGAACACACTTCAAAAACAAACCAACCAACCCCTCAGCTAATACATCACATCTGCCAAAAAATACTAAAAACACCTTAAGGTGTTTGGTTTATTTTATCTGAGGGAGTGTTTATTTTTTTTTAAAACACGAGAAACAAGCACAGTTTTGGATGGAGTTCTTTTTCTGATGCAATAGCCTGCAACAACCAGAACCTAGAAATTCCCTGGGGAAGCCATCTGGATACCAGAGTTGACCTAAACACAAACTCTGATTTACAGATACTGAAATTAACATTAGTCCTAGTTTTCGCATTCTAAGGTTTACTCTAGTCTTTTACAGGCATGCTTTGCATTTTGGTTTCACCCTTCACCCCTCACACAGTGAAGTTGACAGTTTCTAATACTTGTTCACAATTAGCAAGATTTATTTTTAAGTTCTGAAGTTCCACCATTTCTTTCAGTCAACAATATTACAGGTGTTTATCAGTGCACCACTCCCCAGAACAGAAGCTGTCATGCTCCAAATCAAGATTTAAACCTACAATTCTCAAATAACAAAAAATAT